GCATACCTTTTGTGAAGGAAGGCTATGTGAAATTCAATGGAAGCGACAGCTCCTCTCTTATCATTGTAGGAAAATTCAACTAACAATCCCCTTATCACCTTAAATAAAATAGGGTGAGTACACCTCATATATATGGTACTCATTGGTTGATTTTTTAAGTTTTATGATGGCTAAGCTAGTTCAAATGCGATTATTAGGTTAATTTCCTAATAATCCATTTTGCTTTCTCGAGCCATATACACGTATAAACTAGGAGGCATTAACTTTATGTAATACAATGTATTTTAATCATTTTACAATTTATATAAATTCATTTAATCTCGCTTGCCATTGTGCTGTCATCTTACTTCAAATTTTATAAATAAATAAAGAATTATTTTGCAGTTATAACTCTTTTAAAAATACAATATAATTAGCAATATCTTTGACAGTTTTATACTATAGTCTTTTTCAGAGGCAAATAAGATAATTCACACCGCTTTGTTTATGTTAGCGCATCGGGACAAACCAAATTGATCGCCATTTGACCTTGAATGCTCGAAACTTTTCCGCGTGAAGACTGGTTTTAACCGGTTTTCTCTAATGTCTGCTCAAGTAAGTTCTCTTTCTTCTTTGCTTTTACCCCAGCTACCTTGCTATCCTCTTATCCTCTTTGTAATTCCTTTTATTGATCTTGTTTTAACAGATCATTTCTTAGCATCACTCGTCTGCCCAACTATTGACTCTGATTTTTCTTTTATTTAAGTTACAGATGCCGCCATCATCTGGGAATGAAACGCTATCAGAAACTGCAGCGACTCAGCTCCTCGATTTTTCCCAGAGACTTGACATCGCTCTCCTCGATCGGGTAGTTAATTGCATGTACCGCGACAGTGGTCAACAGCAAAAACTTGCTGAAAAGATATTAAATACCCTCAAGGAGCATCCAGATGCATGGACTCGAGTCGATTCCATTTTAGAATATAGTACAAATCAGGAGACTAAATATTTTGCCCTCCAGATATTAGAGGCCCTTATCAAAACAAGATGGAAAGTCCTCGCTCGTCCACAATGCGAAGGTAGGTTGTACTTTCCCTTTAACAACCTTCTTAGGCATCAAGAAGTACATCGTTGGCCTTATAATACACACTTCATCTAATGCCGATTTGATGGAGAGTGAAAAGACCTATATTGGCAAGCTGAATATGATCTTAGTCGAGGTAACACTTAGGTTTGAGTCATATTTTAGATTCTAAAACACGAGTGGCCTAATAACTGGCCATCTTTCATCACTGATATTGTCGGTGCTAGCAAGACGAACGAAGCCTTATGTCAAAATAATATGGTAATCCTGCGATTGTTAAGCGAGGAAGTTTTTGACTTTTCCCTTGGACAAATGACTCAGAATAAGGCGAAGCACTTGAAAGACTCTATGTGCCAGGAATTTGGCCTAATATTTCAACTATGTCTGTTCGTCCTCGAAAATTCTCAAAATGCTCCACTTGTCGCAGCCACCCTGGAAACCCTGCTTAGGTTTATGCATTGGATTCCTCTCGGCTATATATTTGAGACTAACCTTATCAGCACACTAGTTCAAACATTCTTGAGTGTTCCACTTTTTCGCAATGTCACACTCAAATGCCTTTCAGAAATCGCTGGTATTATGTCCGATGACTACAGCGCTAAAATCATAGAATTATTCGTTACAACGACTCAAAAGTTGCTTGAGGTTTGTTTAGTTTACTCTTATCTGCGTTAGATGTTACCTCTTACAACGCGCATAGACAAATCGTACGAGCAGGGAACAGTGGATGAGCAAAATTTTATACAAAATCTAGCAATTTTTTATTGCACCATATTGAGGAACCACAGTGCGGTGCTTGAGAAAGGTGAAGAACAAAGTTCAGCACTTTGCGACGCATATCAATATTTGCTTTTAATATCAGAGGTCCCTGAGCGTGAGATTTTTAAGATATGCTTGGAATACTGGAATATGTTTGTTGCTGAGCTCTATAGGCAAAGTTCATTTCATATGGTTCCTTTTTCATCTCAAGACCAGGATGGTCGACCAAAACGCTTTGATTCAGTTTGTTACAAGGTAGTAAATATATTTATTGCATATTTTATTTGCATGGCTTCTAATTGTATATCTGCTCTCGTTTAGCTCAGAAGGATTATTATTTCCCGAATGGCGAGACCTGAAGAGGTTTTGGTAGTAGAAAACGAGCATAATGAGGTTGTCCGTGAATTCATGAAGGATACTGATAGTCTTAACTTGTACAAAAATATGAGGGAAACGCTCGTCTACCTTACTCATCTTGATTACGCCGTGAGTTGGCTTTTGCCTTATCACTTTATTGGTATGCGATTTATGTTCACGTCATCAACTTTATTTTAATATTTTTAGGATACACGGAAGGTAATGATTGAGAAGCTCCAATGTCAAGTTGACGGATCGGAATGGTCTTGGCATAACTTGAATACCATATGTTGGGCTATCGGCAGCATCTCAGGCGCAATGCAAGAGGATGATGAGAGAAGCTTTTTGGTTGTCGTTATTCGTGATCTTCTTGGTCTGTGTGAACTGAAGAGAGGTAAAGATAACAAGGCTATTGTTGCCAGCAATATAATGTATGTTGTTGGCCAATATCCTCGCTTTCTTCGTGCTCATTGGCGATTTTTGAAAACTGTCATCACCAAGCTCTTTGAATTCATGCACGAAACTCATGAAGGTGTCCAAGATATGGCGTGTGATACTTTTATCAAAATAGCACAAAAATGTCGGCGGCAACTTGTGACTGTACAGGTTTGTTTATTTTTTTAAAATTCTTATTCTTCAAAGTCTATTGACTTATTGGATATATTCCGTTTTTCTTACAGTATAGTGAAGTATTTGGGTTCATCGAGGAAATTCTTCGTGATATTGACATGATTATAAGCGATCTTCAGCCTCAACAGATTCACACATTCTTCGAAGCAGTTGGTCTAATAATCAGCGCTCAAACAGATCCAGAGGTTCAAGCTAAGGAAATTGAGCAGCTGTTTATGCTTCTTAACCAGATATGGGATAGCATCTTATCACGTGCCGCCTCAGACATGGACTCTCTTAAGGATATTGAAGTTGTTAAACAGCTTTGCAGCATCCTTAAGACGAATTATAGCGCCTGTAAATCTCTTGGACAGCCTTACCTAGTACAGGTAGGTGGATGATTCCTTTGCATTCTCGCTATTTTGGTGCCAGATGCGTTCAAGGACGCATTTTCGTTCGCCATTCTTAATTTAATTACTTTTTACTAATGGTTATTTATTCAGTTTGCAAACTAAGCTCTGGTATGCTCTTGATCTACTAAGCGTTTCTAGCCACTTATTTGATTTTATCCATCAATGAAAATGAATTCACCTACTTTTTATGCCCTAGATAGATGTGCTTTTTCCTGTGTCGCTTTCTTTATTATTATTCTTAGCTTCGTTTTCTCATCTTTATCATAAGCTTCTTATGTTCAGTCTCTTATGGGCTAAAACTCTTCATTCACTATTATCTGGATTTGAATTATTTGCTTTTAATCCTATTTTCAG